GTTGGGAAAGTGATGCTGGTATGTTTTTTGGAGTTCAAAGGATTTTATTTATTTAGATCAGGTTCAATCCTGGCTGAAAAATACAACAGCCTTAAAGATGTAGTTTTAAGATCATTTGATAACAAGTGCTGGCAGAAGGGATGATCTTCTACACTTCTTTTCCATTTTTGCTGAACATTTCTGCCACATGTGCTTTTGATGCAGTGGTAGGCAGTTCCAGGTGCTAGACCAGCTGAAATCAAAGCAAGTCAAGAAAATTGATCACTTTTCTGCTCTTCAAACTGATCACTTTGGGCCCAGCTAAGTGCCAATCCACGTGCATGGGTTCAGGGGGGAAGAAGAGGAAACACAACCAGGAGTAAGACCCTGCCTTGTTCCTCTTGACAATAGTAGAGCCCATAGCTGTTGTGTCAAACTACCTTCAGCTTCCCCAGGCAAAGATTTTTTTAAATGCTGTTAATGTTTTTGAGGACTGAACTTGGGTCTCTTCAAAGGATCCTGGTTTTCCATAGGATGGGGGTTTAGCTTTTCATGAGCCTCAGCCCGCACCGTTTGCTTCTGGAAACTATGTCCTTGCACCTTGGGGTCTATTTCTTTAAGATGATTGCAATGTTAAAACTTTCCTGGAGGATAGGTGTTCTTCAAAAGAGGCAATTTAATTTTTTTTTTGGCTCAACTGTGACATTCTCAAGCTCTGCAGTACTGAAGCGTGGGGTGGCTGGCGAGGATTTTTTTTCTTGCTGCTGTTAGGAAAGGCACTGTTTCATACAGATGGGATAAACGCTTTCCTGCATGTAGTGTTACCACCTGTGGTGTATTGGGTGATTTCTACATGTATGGAGAAGTGTTTTTCCAACAGGCATTCAGCAGTGTTGGCGCAGCGTGCTTGGTACAGGGCTACGGCACAGGTGAAAATGCTTCCAGCTCCCCCAGCTTGTGCAGGGCAGTGATTGAGCAGCCTTCAGCCAGGGACAGGGACCAGAGGGGTGCCACCAGGCATCCTGGGTGCGCTCTGGGGCTGCCATACAGCTCTGCGGGTAACAACAGTGCAGACTCCCCGAGAAAGTGGTTTATTTTCTTTTCTTCCCCTGTCCAGAAGCCACTCTTCCACTCTGGGGGAGATCAGAGTTCCAGCAGGCACAGGTGTTGAACCAGCTGGTCTCTTAAGGGACAAAATAATTGAGAATTTGCTGCCCCGAGCTCACAGTCACCAAAGGTAAATCCACCTCTCTGCCTTTCCCATTCCCCAGTGTCAGGTATTTCCATCCTGGCTGTGAGAAGGAAGACAAGACAGATAAGACCAGTCCAGGCCACTGGGTCTTTAAAAAGAGAATTTTAATATCAGAAAGCAGCAGTTGTTATGGGTGTGCATGACATTACAGGATTGCTTTATTCCAGAGTTTCAAAACCTGTGGATGCTACTAGTAAAGATGGAAATCTTTCCATCTCCATGGAGGCAGGAAAAGCTTCTTATCCCCTTTCCTCCTTCCCCAAAGCATACAGAAATCCACATTAATAAATACATAAACGAATAAATAAAATCCAGGGCCAGCAGTTCTGTATTAGCCTCACCATGATTAGCTGGCACCAGGGAATGGGGGAGGTGGCCTCTGAAACTCTATGTCAACAGCAAGTTATGAAACGTTTTGCTCTTAGAAAAACACCCCAGCTGAATTCACAGTGTCCTGCACACCCCGAACAAGACCAGTTGTCATCAGGTTCTCCTAAAGCAACTGGAATCTCTCTTCATTTGAGGCAAGCCATTAAATTTACGCCTCCGACATAAGACCTCAGAAAGGGTAACTACTCCTGCAGGACTTCCCTTGGCACAGCTGGCCCGCATGAGCCATCACCTGGTAGCTGTGAGCTCTGGCTTCACCACCCAGAGTATAAAATGGAAGCCTCTGAGACAGAGCTTCCTTTTCGTGCAAGCTATGGGTGCAGCCTGGCAGCTGTTGGTAAGTACCAGAAAAAAGATTTTTAATTTTGTATTAAGGTATCCCTGAATATCTAATGGTTGTGCTTGGTGATCATATGATGGTTTTTTTGCTATAAGAAAAGACCCTTGGAAAGGGGTGGGAAAAAAGACTGATGGATGTCATGTTTCAGACGAGGGTTTTCCCCTGTTAAATGGCAATTCCAGGTTCTTTCTCCTTCAGTAAGGATGTTTGCATACCAGAATGAGGTGTAATAGCACTCATGCTGAAAGGAGCAGTCTGAAACAGTGTTTTCTGGTAACATTCCAAGTGCAGACAAGCTGTAAAGAGCAGCAGAGGGTGTGAGATGACCGTTAGCTTCTGTTGGATGCTGAATCTGGAGGGATTATGTACCAGTGAGAGCTGGTCTTGTTTTGAACATGCTCCTTTCTTGAGTATTGCAGTATGTGTGATGGTACCTGTGGTCTCTGGAGTAGCCTATAAACTTCAAAACAAAATATGCGTTTTGAATTAGATCTGTCGTTACAGGTTACTTAACTGTGGTCTTGTGCTTGCTGGACTGGTAAAACTTGAGTTATAAATAATTGTCATGGGGTGCTCTACCCCTTAAAGAGTTAATAGATGGATAGCACTGCATCCTCTGGTGCATATGCTGTTGATAATACATGTAAGAGGTATTTTACTTAAGGCTGGATGAGCCCTGAGGTAGATTGTGCTATTTAATGCATGGTTGTCTGACCTTTTAGATACGCTTGGGAGATATGCTGCTGTTTTTGCAAAAGATTCTCACAAAAAAAAACCCCAAAACAAACAAAAAACAATCCACCCAAAACACCAAACCCAACCAATCCTCATGCTATTTCACTTTATTTTGTATTTTGTGGGATAAATACTGTATGTGCCTTCCCCTTTCTCTGCCCTATCTCCAGTGTATGTTACCAATTGCTAATGGCTGCAAGGTGCTAGAGGGGTAGAAGATGATTGCAGTGGCAGTGTCTCAGGGCTTATCTGTGTCCCATTACCTAACTGGAACGTGGCTAAAGACCTGGAACAGGCTTCCTTGAGGGGTGGCTGATGCCCCATGCCTGGCAGTGCTTAGGAGGCTTTTGGGCAATGTCCTTTAATAACATGCTTTAATTTTTGGTCAGCCCTGAAGTGGGCAGGTAGTTGGACTAGATGATCGTTGGAGGTCCCTTCCAGCTGGAATTAGTCTGTTCTCCCTTTCAAGCCTTTTCTCATGGCTGTGGCAGTGAAGTGGAGCACAGAGGGGTGGCTGTGTTCAGGTGACGTCTGCTGCATTTATTTCTTTAGTTTTGGCATGTCGCAGGTGGTGGGCATTAGAGTCTGTGGAGCAGAAAATAAGCAAATTTTGTAATGAAATCTCTGTTTTGGCAGAACTCTCTATGCAAGGTGGAAAACATGGACACTTCTGTAGGGTGTATTTGTATCTAAACCCATGTGCAGGTAGTTATGGATTTGCCTTGCATTGTAGCAGTGATCCTTGACTGGACTTAAGGCTGAAGAAGTTGTCTTAAGTCTCTCTTGTCCATTCTGTTTCTCTACCCCATGAGAATATTCTATTTACATGCTCCCAGCCTACAAACTGTAGTACCTTAGCAGGGTGGTGCAGGGCCAGTGTCTGCAGCCTGACCTACCTGGGCAATAACTGGAAGGAAGGAGGAGAGCCAGAAGGGCTTTGGAGGGAAGCGTAGGGTAACATCAGCAGAAATTAAGTTGCATTTAAACACAAGGAGGAAGAATCTGTATTCATTTTCACTGCAGAAAATCTTTAATCCTTTGGTCGAGTTGCTCCCTAGTTAAAAGGCAGGTAGATATTCCTGTAAGGTTATTTAATTTGAAGCTGATAAATTCTTGAATCACTATGCTGTTGATAAAAGATAGTTTTCTTGTCCTGTTTGGCCCCAGGCACAACCTACAACAAGATGTAAACCTGAACCAAGTATTACTGAAGGATCAAACTTGGAAATGTACTTTTTTTATTTGACAATCATTCACTTTATTATATATACATATTTAAAGTCTGTACATGGTAAAATACAAAATAAAAGTGTTTCTTTATAAGTTACACAATTAAACAGCTACATTTGTCTGTAGTTCAGCCATCATTTAATTAAACAAAGGAGAGAAACCTTGCTGAGCCATCGTTATATTCATTCACAATAACCTTGGTATAAAACATCCATACAGAGTAAGTGTACAAAATAGTGTACATTTCATATAAGCTGTGCAAAGACAGCAAAGTTCAGTCAAAAATCAAAGAGGCATATCCACTTTTCTCTGTCCACATCATGGATAGCAGAAGCAAAGTGGAAAAAAAGCACAGGCCTGTGGGTGAAAAGGTGGGTTAGACAGTGCTTCCAGCATAATATTGATGCATAAATTAAAATGAAAAACATAAATATATAAGGCCTCCATTACACAAGGCACACTTACATTCTACCTTAGAAGTCATTCCAGGGGTGTCAATGTTTTTGCTGCACAAGTACCGTGCTATTTGGGGTGAAGAGGGAGGCAGTGTTTGCTCCGTGTCCCTCAATAATGTTATTTTTGGAGGAAAGGGTTGCTGGATCAGACCAGTCTTCAGGGCTTTGAAATCTTAGCAGTAGCTGGATGTTGACTTGAAAGGCAGTAAAAATGGCCACAGCATCTATATTGGGGTTTCTGTTGTTTCTTTTTGGGGGAGGGATGGGGGGGACGGATGGCACCCTTCCCTCTCAAGAGGAGGTACTTTTCTCCCTGCTATAAAGCAAGGAGCTGCCTGTTGCTTGCTCTCGGGAGAAGGCAGCTAATTGAGCAAATGTTGACTGTGAAGCAGAGAGAGTTATGAAAGGTTTAGCAGATGCGATGAATATGAAAACCTCCACGTGGGGCAAAAAAGGAAGGATAGATATAGGTAGGAAGTCTTGCAGCTATGTGATAAAGAACCTGCACTGGAGAAGCATGTGGACATTGGGGTGGGACATCACCTCTTCAATTTATAGCGCTCTTCTATTTACATCTTTGCAATGTCCCCATGTGACGGTAGGGGCAGGCAGGGGTGATCTAAGAGACTGTTATCTCCTCCTCTTCCTCCTCCCCTTCATCATCCTCTTCCTCTGAGTCTGAGAAGTCTGACGGTTTGCTGGGGCTGCTAGAATGGGATGGAGAAGGAGACATCTGGGAGTCCAGTCTGTCCCTCAAGTGTAGATGTTCTGGGGACTGGTGGTAGCTTAAGGGATGCTGGGGGCTGGGTGGGCACACAGGGGAAACTTCCTCCTCCTCCTCCTCTCCTGAGCATTTCTTGCCTACGTCACTGAGGTCTGGGTGAGGGTTGAACTTGGTGGGTAGGGTCTGTTCTCTGCAGCCACCAGAAGAGAGGAGCTCTCTTTCTTTGGAATTCCTCCACTTCATCCTCCTGTTCTGGAACCAGATCTTCACCTGACGTGGGGGGAAGCAACATAGAAATGAAACAGTTCAGTAAAACAGGGACTGGGAAAGGCCTTTTGGTTGCACCCTTGAAACCCTGCTCATGCCTGTACTGAAGCTAACAGGGACCACAGAACCTGACCTTTGGGGACCCTAAGAGAGGGGTCGGGAGGCAATAAGGTCATGGTCTGTCCTGTCCTACTCACCCAGCTGGGAATTGTGCTGCTCTCTTGGCTCCCTTAAGGATCAAAGCCCTGTAGCTTGCTTTGGACTTTCTCCTGGCCATGGGCAGTTCTCCCTGCCTCCTGTCCCCTTTTCCTCCCCCTACCCTCAAGCTGCCTCTGGGGGTGGGGGGCCTGGCTCACCGCACCCCATTGCCCTCCCCACCTGGCGCCCCTTCTTACCTGTGAGTCCTTGAGGCCCAGCTTGGCTGCCAACTTCTTCCTATCGGGTTTGCTGATATACTTCTGCTTCTGGAACATCTTCTCCAAGGCCTTGCGCTGCACGTCGGAGAAGACAGCGCGGCGCAGCATGCCACGGCGGGGCTTGCCACGGGCAGCCAGCGGCCAGGAGAAGGTGCCAGGGATAGGGACCACTGCAGAGGTGGCTGTGGAGGACACACACGGTGCTGAGTGGAGTGGGACTGGCCCCCGCAGCCCCCCTCCCTGCCCTTCGGGTGGGCACCCATCAACCTGGGGCTGTGAAAAGGAGCTTTAGGCTTAACTAAGCACCCCCCTTTCAGCCAGTGATCACTGGGATTAGATCTATCAACTCAAACGTGTAAAATGGATCAATAGTAGCCGGTTTTGTTGGGATATTCAAAGGTCTCCGGCCTGAAAAGGCAAAGCGAGGCGTACCGGCTAAGATAGAGGTATAATAAAAAAGCTTTCCCTCCCACTCAGAAGTATTTGATTTTTTTCAGAAGCTTTTATCATTTCAGACGCTTTATTATGCTCGAGATGAAAATGAGGACTTTTCTGATTCCGAACAAAACCGTTCCTCTTCAGATGCAGTTTTGATCAATCAGTATTCATCTTTTTATATTAATCTCTTCTCCTCCCCCCCCAAGTTGGAGAATACAAGCCGAAGACATGAAAAGTAACAACTAATTAGCACATTGCCTGGTTCCCAATGGCTTTGGCATGATAAAAAGGGCAGAGTTTCGCCTTAAAAAAAAAAGGGGGGGGGGGGGGACCCCCCCAAGGGGGGCGAGATGCTAATGAAGCGTGAATGGTAATTGTGTAGTAATGAACTAACAGAAAAAGACTGAGGACAAGCAGCTAACGCCATATATTATTGGAACAAAAGAGATTTACACTTTCAAACTAAACACAACGGCATGCCAGGCTCCTCGGGAGAATACTGATGGCACAATCGTCTCTTTCCCCAAATCATTTTCATTAAATGGACATGAAAAGCTATTTATAAAGCTCAAGTTGTTTTTGTTAGGCTATTCACATGCTGGAGAAAGGAAGCAAATTCCATTATCCGGAGGATGAATGGAAGAGCTTGGGTTATTTTTTTTTTCCTCTCTCCCTTTCCCTGTTTTCTTTTTAAATTAATAGCTTGTTTATGTACTTAGATTTCTTTTTTTTTTTTTAATTGTTCTCTCCGCATCATAACACTTGGGCGCGGTAAGACCGTACCCAGGGGCTATGCCTGCTTTCCCGCCGCGCCCGTGGCGTTTGAATACCTAACGGGGGAGCGGGGGAGCCGAGGGGAGGGGCAGGGCGCGGAGGAGGGAAGGCCCGGGCCGCGCCCGCGGTGCGCTCCCT